ACCATCTTCTAAGCTTGTGGTGTAGCCTTGTACAGAGAGCTTACTTTTTATCCTAAAAAATTTACATTTTAATATTTTGTGCATAATCATATATATTTTCTTGGTCACATGCATTATTTAGGTGCATGTAGACATTTGTAATGATTACACAAGAGCAGTCAGCATGTCCGTGACTTCCGCCCCCAGGCTCTAGAGGGTCCAGGTATGAGTGAGAGCCCGGGTATTTTAGATAATGTAGGGTCTTGCAGGTTCATCAGCGTTTCAAATGGCAGGATTCCATCCATTGTACGACTGAGTAGTATTCAGTTACATATATGTCCCACATTTTCTCTGTCCATTCATTTGTTGATGGACACTTGAGTTGATTCTGTATTTTGGGTATTGTGAATAGTTCTACAGTAAACTTAGAACACACATGTGTTGGAATATTCACTTTGGTTCCTTTAGATATATACCCAGTGTTGTGATGGCTGCACCCTAGAATATTTCTTCAGTTTCTTAAGAAATATTTTTTTGGTCCTGGTGCCCTATAGCCTAGCAGCTATAGCTTGCACCGGGATCTCATGGGCACCAGTTCTAATTCTAGAGGCCCCACTTCCCATCCAGGTCCCTGCTTGTGGCCTGGGAAAGCAGCAGAGAACTTCCCAAAGCCTTGGGGCCCTGCGTCTGTGTGGGAGACCTGGAAGAGCTGGCTCAGCTCTGGCCATTGCAACCACTTGGGGGCATGAATCATTGGAAAGAAGACTTTCTCTTTGTCTCTCCTCTCTGTATATATGACATTGCAATGAAAATAAAATAAATCTAAAAAAGAAATAGTACATCTTGGTGCGGTTGAATTTCATAGACATTGAATTTCCTGCGTCTGGATGTCTGTATCACTCAGTAAGGTTGGGAAGGAGTTCATCGATGATTTCATTCAATAGGCTTTCTGTGTCTTTTCTTTCTCGAATAGACTACTCACAATACAAATGTTTGTTCCCATAAGCCTCAAAAGCTTTTTGATTTTATTTTTTCTTCTGACTAGGTTATTTCAAAAGGCTTCTTTTCAGAATTAGAAGTTCATTTTGTTTGCTCAGTTTTTCTGGCAGTGTCAGCCATCTTTTAAATTCAGTATGTTGGCTTCTTTAGTGCCAAGATTAGATTGGCTCTTTTTAGCATATTATTTTTTATAAAGATGTGAGATATTCCTAATGCTAGTTTACTTCATAAACGGATACATTGGCTGGACTGGGCCAGGCTTAAGCTAGGAGCCTGAACTCCATCCAGGTCTACCACATGAATGATGGCAAGGGCCCAAGTAATTGAGCCATCTTCCTAGACGCGTTAGCAGGTATCTGAGTTGAAAATGGAGCAGCTGAGATGTGAACTAGCACCCTGGTATGGTATGCTGGTGTTACGAGTGTTGGCTTAATCAGTTATGCAATGAAGTTGCTTCCTTTTAAGAAATTTGATTTTTAAAGATTTATTTATTTTTATCGGAAAGTCAGATCTACGGAGAGAAGGAGAGACGGAGAAAGGTCTTCTGTCTGCTGGTTCACTTCTCAAGTGGCTGCAACAGCAGGAGTTGAGCCTTTCTGATCTAATGCCAGGAACCAGGAACTTCTGGGTCTTCTGTACGGGTGCAGGATCCCAAGGCTTTGGGCTGTCCTCGACTGCTTTCCCAGGCCACAAGCAGGGAGCTGGATGGGAAGCAGGGCTGCCAGGATTAGAACTGGTGCCAATACGGGATTCCAGTGCTTGCAAGGCGAGGATTTAGCCATTGTTCCATTGGGTCAGGACCCTCCTTTAAAACTTTTAAAAAACATTTGAAAAACAGAAGAGACAGGTAGGCAGGTAGATGGGATTCTTACCTATTGGTGTTTTCCCTAAATGTTTGCAGTTACTGGAGCAGGCCAGGACCAAAGCTACGAACTGGGTACTTGGCCCAGGTGGGCGCAGCAAAGCAGTTGCTCCTGTCCTGCTGCTCTGTCCCTGGGTCCACGTATGCAGGAAGCTGGGACTGGGCCCCAGCTGGCACACTGTGGTGTGGACTGCCAGGCTACATCCCTGCCCCTTCTGGTTGGCTTTTTTCAGGATCTCTATCTTTGCTTAACTTTGCACTTCTCTTATGAATTGTGTTCTTAATATTGTTGTATTGTCTATATTACTAAATTTCCTTAAAATGATTTTTCAAAAGGACACTTTTACTCAAGTGATCCATTACTTTCCGTTTCTTTGTGGTCTGTTGACTAGAGCACTGTTGCGTTCTTTTTGAGACTTAATGTTATCTTATTTTTTTCATGCTGCTTTTGCTCCTCTGTGTGTGTGTGGTGTGTGTGTGTGTGTGTGTGTGTGCACGCCCGCGCGCATCTAATGATTATTTGCTTCTGACATTTTTATGGGATGGCTTTTCTGCTTTCACAGTAAAAGCCCTTCTGCTGGTAATAGGGCCTGGGATGTTGATTGGATATACTGTGTTGGCTTTGGGTCTAGGTGGATGCTCTAGCGTAATGCCTACGTAGATATAATCAACATTGGTGATGTCTATGAATGCCTCAGGACCCTGGGCTGTAAGGATTGTGGGATTGTACTGCCAGTTGGGATACAGATCCCTTGGTGGGACATGTTCCTTGTCAGCTCTGTTCACAGTACACCTGACAGGGTATCGGGCCCTCATCAGTTTTTGTGGGTTGTGCGGCTTCCGTAGGCAACCCTGTGGGCCCAGCTGGTCTGTTGCTGCCTGCCTAGTGGAGGGATAAGATGCCATTCTGTTTCTGAGGGTTGCCATTCTGTTTCTGAGCTGCAATGGTGTGACAGTGTTTGAGGACTACTTAGGGAGCCTCTAAGCTGACTGCTCAGGGAGGTGGCCAGCTGCTTCCTGGGTTGAACATCTGCTTAGGGCTTCAGTGTGTCTAAGAACAGGCGGTTCATCTGCTTCTTTAGTCCACTGGAGGACAGCCTGCCCAGCTTCCTCCTAGGGGCCATGTGTGGCCAAGCCTCTGGGAAGGCTCCTGTTCCTGTCACCCAGGGCTAGCTGTCCAGCTGCTTCCTGTTGTGAGGACTTGGGGGTAGGACCAGTTGGTCGCTTTTAGGGTGGCAAGAGGGAGCCTCTGCAGGCTGCGTCACTCAGGGTGTTTTTCTCAGGTTTGTGGGAGGGCAAGCAGACCTCCTCTCTGACCCCCAGGCTGTGTCTGGGGAGCTGCTGGGAGCAGTTGCTTCTTAGAACAACCACAGGGGTACCATTTCTGGAAGCTCTGTGCAGATAGCCTGGGAGGTGGAAGAACCATGTGACTGTTGGTAAGTTTCCCAGATGAGGGCTGCTGGGCTCTCCAGCAGTTCCTGCCTCAACCTTGTACGTCTGGGACGATAGCTGGGGGCTTCTGGGTAATTGTTTCTGAGCTGAGCAAAGTCCCTGTTGGTTTAAGGTTGATCTCGTGAGATGGACTGCCCAACGGGCTCTGTTTCTTTTGTAAGGCCATTGGGTATCTCCTTCCTCTGCCTGCTCCCCATCAAGTACTTGGGAGAGAGCGCTAGCAGCAGGGCCTTGGACCCATGGCTGTGGACAGGAGTTGTGGGGTTCCACCTGGCACTTGGTTTCCCCTTGGCAAGTCTAGTACCAAAGCCTGGGCTTAACGCCCTCTCCCTCTTTCAAGTGTGGAATGACTCTCTCTGCAGTGCTTGGAGTTGGATGAGGTGGGCAGCTCTTACTTCCTGCCTTGCTGACAGTGGCCTGTCATACCACAGCCAGGCACTGCCATCTCCTCTGGTACAGCTCTTACAAAGGTAGATTGGTGGATGAACTGGTATCTCTGAAGAGATGATTGTTGATCTTACTCAGTTCTCATCTTGTTCTGCCTCTGCTGAGACAGCTTATTTTATTTATTTATTTACTTGAAGGGTTACACAGGGAGAAGTGACAGAGAGAAGGAGAGATTGGAAAATTCTGTTTGTGCAGTTCTCAAACGACTGGAACGTCTGTTCAATCTCTTAGGTTGGCGCAGGAGCCCAAGAAGTGGAGCAGCCGAGTCTCAAACCATCACCCACATGGGAGGGTGGCATTGCAGGTGGCGGCTTTACCTGCTGTAAAACACAGCTTAACTTTTAAAGCAAGGCTTTCTAGTGCTAATTTGCTTGATTCTGATTTCTTGGGGATTATATTTTTAAAATATACAAATAGATGCATAGGTGAACAAATATATACATACATTCTTAAAGATGAACTGTATAATGGAAACGAACATCTTGGGAAGTGGAGATACATTGCAGTAAGCATCTCTGCTGCTCCGTAAAAGGAAGACTCCCAATGAAGTCTATTTTGTTAATTGTATTTTGAAAATAAGATGCTGGACTCTCTTCTTCCTCCCCTCCCCTCCCCTCTCCTTCTTTCTGTCTCTTTCTTTCTAGATTTGTTTCCTTTTATTGGAAAGTCAGATTTACAGAGCAGAGAGACAAAGAGAAAGATCTTCCATCCTCTGATTCACTCCCCAAGTGGCTGCAGCAGCAGGAGTTGAGCCGATTCAATCCAATCTAAAGCCAGGAGCTTCTTCCAGGTTTTCCGTGTGGGTGCAGGGTCCCAAGGCTTGGACCATCCTCTACTGCTTTCCTAGGCTACAGGCAGGGAGCTGGATGGGAAGTGGAGCAGCTGGGACACAAACTGGTGCCCATATGGGATTCTATAAGTCAAGAATTTAGCCACTAGGCTACTGTGAAGGGCCCAATGCTTGAATTTCTATCATTACCTATACCTGCAGTGTCAGGATTATATATATATATATATATATATATATATATAAAAATTATTTTGTGGGGCCCAGTGCAGTAGCCTAATGACTAAAGTCCTCACCTTGCATGAGCCAGGATCTCATGTGGCTGCTGGTTGATATCCTGTCTGCTCCTCTTCCACAGGGGAGACCTGGAAGAAGCTCCTGGCTCCAGCCAGTGCGGCCACTTGGGGAATGAACCAGTGGATGGAGGATCTTTTTGTCTCTCCTTCTCTATAAAATCTGACTTTCCAGTAAAAATAAATACATTTTTAAAAATTATGCTGAAGCATTAGCAAATTATAAGTAGTATTTCTGTGTAGATTTGTTATGGGTTTATGTTAGTTATATGGAGTTTCTCTGTCCTAAGTCTGTTCAGTGAGGCTATATTACATGTGCACTGGGCTCTTTATAAAGAATTCCCCAGGAAGCTGTGTGAACCTCCATAAAAACAAGATGTTATCAGAAAGCTTACAGAAAATGGCATTACTTTTCTAATCTTGTTTTGTAGGACATCATAAAAAGAAAAAACAATCATTTGAAAATATTATACAAAAAGTAGGCACAAGGGGTGATTTATTCTGGAAACAGAACTGCTGATTTTTTCAAGTTTCTTATTTTTAATTTAAGATTGCCAACATTTAAAAAACTTGCAATGCTACAGTTGGGTGGCCATGGAACGTGTGGTCTTGACATAAGTAGTACTTATTCTCCTACTGAAAAGTTAAAACCTGAAAAAATGACCCGAAGCAAAGCAGACCTGATCAAAGGTGAAGCCATATCACGTGCGCAAGGGAATAAGTCAGCTATTTGGCTTCTATTGCTTCCCTGAGGCTGAACCTACTGGCTTCTGTCTTGTAATTATTGAGTCTTTTTTTTTTTTTTTTTTTTTTTAATAATTTCAGTTCTCTCTGTATGTCTTGTGTTGGAGTCTTTGTCAGTGGTGTAGAGAGACGTTCCAGTTGGTGGTGTGGAAAACACTGAACTTGTATTTGGTGGTTGATTGGAAAGTGTTCTGAAGTCCCTAAGGTACCTGCTTTGTTTTTTTAGGAAATTGAAGATGGCTGTCGAGTTATGCTAGGTCTACGATGGGAAGTGTCACAGTTCGGTACTTCTGTTACGGGTGCCTTTTCACTTCTGCAACCTGGACAGTTTTGCTTTTTGTTTATTTCAACTTCAGTGAAGTGACACAGCCACTCAAGAATGTGCCCATCAAGGGGTCTGGACCCCATGGACCTTTTCCAAAAAAATTTTATCCACGCTTCACTCGAGGTCCAAGTCGAGCATTAGACACACAGTTCAAAGTGAACAAAATTGATGATGTGATAGATAATGACGTTGAAGATCCAGAAAAAGACCACTTGAAATTCTCTTCTGAGTTGGGTAAGTACATTTGATTTTTACTGAAGTAATATAAAATAGTTAATCCTTTGAAGCTATAACTTGATTATTCCTTAAAAAAGCAAGTGTTGCTGAAGGAATTAGAAATGTGTCGGTTTTTTTGCACACTAATTTATTTGGTGTGTGACCTAGCTGAGAGTCTGGGATTTTTGCAGACCCAGGGGGAGTTGTTATTGTGTTCTGTCCAGTTTTGACTTCAATATTTTGTGAGAACTTTGTTGAAAATAATAAGATTTAGAAAAGGGGAGTGGGGAGTTAATAATTGAAGAGCTAGCAAGAAAAATTATGCCCATTAGAGAAGATTTTAATTGTTTAGGATTATTTAATAGAGGGGAAAGATGGTGAAAATATGACTAGTTTATTTTGAAATGCATATTTGTTTAAAACAGAATGTAGCATTTCAGGATGGGGCGTCTCATGCCCAGATCCCTGGCGCCAGGCTCCGCCTGCTGGCCACCTGGCCGGACCCTCTGGGGTTTTGGTTCTTTGAATCGCTGCTTAGGTAGCTCCAGGTTGAACACACTGTACTTCTGGGACGTGAATCAATCCTAAAGGTTCCCAATGACAGTAACTCTCCTTTGAAGAACTTGTAATCACTGAACAATGCTTACCACCAAACATCAGTCCATGCAAAAGCTAAGGCTTGGGGCTTGTCCAGCAGGATCATATCCTGTTACCTGACATGATGATGGATCAGGAGAAGGGTCACATTAGGCAGGGCCATGACATTAGCTAGCACTCGAGAACCATATCCAGGGGTAGATTCTGGGGGCAGGGGGAGGAGATGGGCCAAACCCTGTGGAAATTCTAGCCCCACTGGTTAGCTCAAGAGTTGGGGTTGTGATAGACTAAGCTAGGTGTGACCAAGGAGCCTGCCATCAATCACAGGTAAAGGAACCGACAACAGTCTGGACTGGTCAAGGCAGCAGCACCCAAATGTGCATCCTGAATAGGGTGTGGGGTGGGCCGGGCTGCGATGTTCACCAGCTCATACAAGGCCAAATGAAAGGCCAGGCTTCACCAGAACCTGGCCTAAAACACAGTGGCATGTATGAGAACTGGGTGTGGGGGTGGATCAAGTGGAGGAACTTGGGAAACTCCCCTGGCAAGTCATAGCTCCTGCTGGTGAACATGTGGTCCAGACGTGGGGGTTGGACAAGCTGGGCAGAGTAGCTCCAACAGCTGGCTTATGTGTGAATTGGTAATGGAACAGATTGTACCGGGCAGGACTGAGCAATCCTTAGCCCACAAGCGGAACTATAGACCAGGATGGAGCACAGGTCATGCCGAGCTAAGCTCTTGCACCTATTGGGTCTGCGTGAGCCAGGAACGCTAAGCCACAGTGTCTAAGGCAGAGGTCGGGGCAGGGGAGGGGCTGAGCCAAGCTGAGTCAGAGCAACCACTAGCATGCGCGTGATCTATGGCTAGGAACAGGCCCGCTTGGGGAGCTAAGGGGACACCCTAACTGGTTTGAGGTTCCCACCAAGGGGTTCATGGGCTAGAATAGGGGCTGCGTTCTAATCAGGAAACGGTTGTAGTCTCCCTTGGCACAAGTGTGGACTGGGACTGGACACACTGAGCCAGGCCAGACTCTAATACCCTCTCGTGTCCTGGAGGACCAGGGTAGATGTGGGATGGACTAGGCTAGGTCTCAGCCTCTACTGAGCCATGTGTGAGCTGTATGTGGGTATGGATGAGCCATGGCTGGGCTGAAACATCCAACAGCAAGAACCAGAATGGGTTGAAGGCCAGTCAGGAAAAGCCACTGCTCCTGCTAGGACAGGAGGTGAACTGAGTAGGGCTGGCTTATGGACCCCCTGGTATGCACAAGATCTGGCATTGGGAGAAGTTCTGATGGAGGAGCCTGGGCAACTCCTTTGGCAGGACACAGACCTGCAGGTAAGCGCAAGAAGCATGATAGGAAACAGCCTAGAATAGGAAACTGGCATACATTTGGCATGGGTTGGGGGCAGACCAGGCTGAATCAGTTCATGTCATCCACTGGCAAATCTGAGCGCCAGAACAGTGTGTGTCAAGCTGGGTTCCGGTCGTGACAAAAACCAGTGTACAATACAGATTGCCAAGGTGAGGGTGCCTGTACCGAATGTGACCATAGTGCCCAACCAGCACGCATGAGAACCAGGAATGGAGGGGGCAGAGCTGGCAGGGTGAATAAGGGAGGGTTCCCTTGCTGGACAGCTACTCCCACTGGAGAGCATGGGCTGGGATGGGGGCAAACCAGACTAAGCAGGGCTACAACACCTGTGGGCCTCATGTGGACTAGATCAGGAAAAAGCCAGGCTGGGTTGATTATTCCTACTGGTGCAAACAAAATTAAAGTGGGTGAGGGTTGTTTGGGCTTAGCCGCAGCATCAGCTGGCAGAAGCTGGCACTGGGGGCTAGTTCTGTCAAGTCAAACCACAGAACCACCTGAAGAGTGCATAATCCTGGAATGAGAGAGACCTGGGAAGGAAATAGTGGGCTCCTCCCTCTTGGGTTACCACTTCCATGGGAGGGCATGAAAACTAGGACAGGGGCTGGGTTAAAAAAAACAACTCATAAAATGAAATATTCAATATAGTAAAAAAAAAAACACAAAACAATAGAGCCAGCACCGATATGGAATCTCAGCAAGTACAAGGTGAGGACTTTAGCCACTAGGCTACTGTGGCGGGCTCTATTTTCTAATCTTTGTCACAAAAATTGCACATTTATTTTAGCATTATGGCAAGCTTGTAACCCTTTTAGTCTTGTGCTTTTTTTCAGCTAGTGTAATAGCCTACATACTTCCTTTATTTATACATTGTCTTCACAGTGACTCTTTCAGTGTCCACATAATATGAAGGATCTTCCTAAAGTTTGTGGGGCTAGTGCTGTGGCATAGCATGCCAAGCCTTGACCTGTAGCACCAGCATCCCATTTGGGCATAGTTTCATGTCCTGGCTGCTCCATCCAGCATCCTGTTTGTATCCTGGGAAAGCAGCAGAGGATAGCCCTAACCCTTGGGACCTGGAAGAAACTCCTGGCTCCTGTTTTCGACCAGCTCAGTTTCTTCTGTTACAGCAATTTGTTGAGTGAACCAGAAGAGGAAGATTTCTCTGTGTCTATCCATTTCTCTGTAACTCTTTCAACTAAGAATAAAATAAATTAAAAAAAAATTTCATATAAAATATATAGTGAAAAACCTGTATGCAAAGATTTCAGAAATTTTTTTGCACAGAATAAACTTACTTTTGATTTTCATTTTCTCACCAAAAAAAAGAAAAAAAAATGTAAAGCATTAAGTTTATAATCAGTTGGATAAGATTTCCATGTAAGAAATTACTAAGGTATTTAAATATGTATTAAGTCTAGTTTATACAATGTTGAGATGAAACAGAAAGCAAAATTTGTTTAGTTTATAAGCAAGAATCTATCATCAGTGGCTTTTATTTTTAAAGATTTATTAATTTTTTATTGGAAAGGAAGATTTACAGAGAAGGAAATATAAATATCTTCCATCCTCTGGTTCATTCCCGAAGTGGCCGCAGTGGCTGGAGCTGAGCCAATCTGAAGGCAGGATGCCAGGAGCCTCTTCTGGGTCTCCCACACAGGTGCAGGGTCCCAAGACTTTGGGCTGTCCTCAACTGCTTTCCCAGGCCACAAGCAGGGAGCTTGGTGGGAAGTGGAGCAGCCAGGGTAGGAACTGGTACCAATATGGGATCCTAGTGCATGCAAGGCGAGAACATTAGCCACTAGGATATTACTCCAGACTCCCAGTTTTACACTCTTGCATCTATATGATATTTTTAAGGGATAAGTAATAATTTTGGTTATGTTCACATCTTAGAAAGAACTGATTTTTTTTACAGCAACATCAAATAGGTAATTTAGAAAAAAAACATGGTTAGAGGTTTTGAGATTAAAGAAACCATAGACTCTAAAGAAAATGTTAAAACTGACTTTGTATTTGGTCATAGTTTCAAAGGAATACGTTTTTAAGACCTCATGATTTTCTGGGGTTGGAATTGTGCTGCAATAGAGTGAGTGGTCACCTGGGATGTAGGCACTCGAATGAATGGATTCAAGTTCTTTCCACTCTGCTTCTGATCCAGTTCCCTGCTGAAGCACCCAAGAAAGCAGCAGCAGATGGCCAGGGTCCTTGGGCCCTGCCCTTACATCAGAGACCCGGCTCGAGCCCTGGCAGCCATCTGGAGAGTGAACCAGTGGATGGAAGATTTCTCTCTCTCATACTGACTCTGCGTTTCAAATAAATAAAATAGATTTTTAAAGTTAATTTAAAATTGAAGACTTTTTTCATTTAATCTGCAGTTAATTATAAAAGTAATTAAAACAGTTCCCCTGGCATACTAATTGACATTGGCTATAATTTTATTTCAGCAGAGGGTAGAGAAAATTAAGCTAAAATGATTTTTTAAAGGACTTTGTTTGAAAGGCAGAATGATAGAAAGGGAGAAAAAGATGCTGTCCGTCTGCTAGTTCAGTGGCCAGTGAGCATGATGGCCAGCACTGGGCCAGGCGGAAGCTCTGAATCTGGAACTCCATCCGGGTGTTCCATATGAGCGACGGGTCCAGCCACTTAGATCACCCTCTGCTGCTTTCCCCAGGGCATCAGCAGGAGCTGGATTGGAAGTGGAGCAGTGGGACATGAGCCAGTACCCATTTGGAGCGATCTGCTACGCCACAATATTTCATCCCTCTTACACCTATGTGTCCATAAAACAGCCAACATATTAAAGGAACAGAGATGTACTGTCAAAAAACAAAGAGTTTTAAGACTCAGTTACTCCCAGTTATAGGTTGCCTTTCACCTAGGAGGTGTTATCCCACTGAGAAAATAGCAGCCAGTGGCTGGCAGGCATTCTGGACCTATAGGTAATGCCAAATTTGTGCCAGCATAGTTGCCTATTCTCTCTCTTATTTTTAAGATATGAGGGGGAGACAGGGAATTACAGGCCAAGACATGCCACCCCAGCTCCCAGATTTCCCGGGCAAGGAAGCTTTTGAATGTGTAAGAGTGAGAGTGGCTGAGGACAAGCTTGACAGGGAAAGAATGGCTTCTGGGGGGCTTCTGTACTCACAGGAGGTTGAGGGGGCTGAGATAGTGATTTGCAGGAAGGAAACTGGAGGGTGTGTCTGGGTCAGCCAAAGCTACCCTGTCAGCACATGCAAAAGTCAGGGAGCATGCTTGGTTCGGCTAGGTCATAGTGCCTGTCCACGAGTGTCAGGGCAGAGACTTGGCTGTGTCATGCTGGGCTGCAGCACCCACCAGAATGTGAAAGAACCAGATATGGGGACAGATTCTGTAGGGGACTTGTGGGCTCACCTCTCTGGGACTGTAGCACTCGCTGGTTTGCACAGAGAGCTGGGGTTGGTGACAAGCTGAACCAGGCTGGACTGCAGAATTCATCTAACAGGAACTTTGCTGATACTTGGTGGGAACTGGAGCTGGGAGGAGGCCAGGTGAAGCCATACTGGGGCACTCACTGGCATATACAAAGGCTGGGGCTGACAGCAGACCATGCAAAGCAGAGCTGCAGCTTCACTGACAGCCGTGAGATATGGGACTGGGAGTGAAACTGTGGACATTCCCTTGCTGAGCTGCAGCTCTCACTGGTGAGCATGAGAGCCAGGGCTGGGGTCAGGCCAAGCTGGACAAAGTGGTAGCACCCATTGACGTATATGTGGGGCAGGTCTGGGGTGGATTGGGTTAAGCTTTACTGCAGCATCTATGGATGTGCACGAGAGCCAGATGGGATGTAGGATGGACTTGGCTACGTAGTGACATAAGCCAGCACAGGCACAAACCAGGGCTGGGGGAAGGCCTGGTGGAGGTTATCAAGGGTTGTTGATATGCTTGAGGACCAGGCCTGTGTATGAGAGATGGGACTGGGGACAGAACTGACCAGACAGCTGTGTCCCTAGTGTGTGCATTAGCTGGTACAGGTAGCAGACTGAACCTGTCACTGCACTGGCTGGTGCACACAGGAGTCAAGCCTGAGGTCACCCCAAGGAGACCACTGGATTCAAATCTCGGCCATGGGGAAAATCACAGCATACCTGGTCCAGCCTTGGAGTGCCTAGAGTTGAAACTGGTCCTCAGTTGCTGATGCCTATGCAGTGAACAGCATGCCCAGAAGCACACGGGGACATGACAGCCTGCTTGTCTAGGCCAGCAGAGGATGCCAACTGCCTCGTTGGAGGATGGAAAGCAGAACAGGATGGACAACTCTTCTGGCCAAGCTTTGCAGTATGTGCCTGGGTCTGTAGATGCGCGCTGGACTTGTTCAACCAGCAGAACCTTCAAGGAATTTTTTTCAACCCTGATGCAGTGAATCCGACATGTCGTCTCAGAACTAACAAGACCACTTGGGTAGCACCCTTGGAACATTCTTTCCCCATATTGGAGTTTCTAAGGTGTCATCAAGTGACTTTCCCATTCCCGGTGCTGTTGTAGTTTGACAGCAAGGGGTGGTCCCCTTCACTTCCCCCAGGCAGACAAGAAGAATAAAAAGAACTGAAACATGTGTTCCGCCCACCTTCCTCCATGCCTGACCCTCCCCACCTTAATCAGAGGTCCACATGGGCATGCATCTCTCTCAACTGTAAAAAATATTAAAAAGAAAATAAAAATTAAAAATAGTAAAAATAAAATTCAGTTACTTCCCCTTATTTGTTTGACCATGCAATCCTTTATTTTTAAGATCTTTATCTGGTTTTTGGGTTTAGTTTTGCATCAGCAGACTTTGAGAAATGCTGGTATAAGTGTTACTCTGTGAGAAGAGGCTAAAGGGAAGAGAAATATCAAAAGAGAAGTTATTTTATATGAAGACACGATTCTGACAGAATGTTAGAAGAAGAATTGAAATTTTGCATAAATCTGTGCAGGAGCTGCTTGTCCTTGCAGCTGATAAAACTCTCGCGGGGGGAGCTTTTCAGTTGGAGGGCTGTCACCAGCCTTTCGGAAGGGGAGAAGGTCGTTTGAAGACATGGCTAAGCTTGTGGGCTGAGGTCCATTGGGTTCTCAAAGGGAATACTAGTTTTATTTTTTGTAAAGTTATCATACTTGTTTTTTTCATGGTTACAGGTAGCTTTTGCTGTTGAATATTGAAAAACAGTCTTAAGATGATGGCTTGTGAGCAGCTGCCATTTCTTGTTTAGTGCAGTTGCTTTTACCGCAACTTCTGAACAGGGTACTTCTTTTCAAATTGGATATAACTTAGCTTTGAGAGACATGACTGTGGGCTAAAGTTAACATTGTCTTAAAATCTTCAGAGTGACCATAGGAATCCTGTTCAGATCGAAAACACTGACTGCAGTTTCATTCTTTTACAGGTATGATTTTTAATGAACGTGATCAGGAGTTGAGAGACTTGGGCTACCAAAAACATGCCTTTAACATGCTGATTAGTAACCGCTTGGGCTACCATAGAGACGTGCCGGATACAAGGAATGCAGCGTATGTTACTAGTTTCTGCTAATATGTTTTTAAAATAGCACAGTGCTTTTAATGCCAGCTTAAGGAGCTCTGAGGGTGGTATGTATATTTTGTCATTAACATCATTACTCAGCTTACTAGAAAATCTGAGACTGATTTCCACATGTATCGTACTTGAAGCCTTGTGGTCTGAGATTGTACCAGCAAAATTATAGCATGTGCTACTATGTCTGTTGAAATTCTATGTTGATATAGGAAAGAGAAGAGAAATACTAATTAAGTAAGAGTCGGTAAATTTACTTTAAATCTTTTATAGGACAAATGGAAAAAAGGCATTATAGTCAGCGCAGGGCATTGCTCATAAAGTCAGTTTGGTCTTTTACTCCTTCGAAGGCTTTTCGTTAGTGGGGTCTGTCAGCCCTCCCATAGACAGATGCTGGCTGAGCATCTTCTGTTTGGTGTAGATGGTGTGAAGCCCAGAACATGAACAGAACAAAACAGTGCAGCAAGAGGGGCAGATAGGCAAACAGATGGTAGTGTTGGAGCGTGAAGAAGCCGAGTGAGAGCCGACACGAGTGCCAGGAGGACACCACAAGAGGTGAGGACGCGTGATGCGAAGGCGGCCTTTCCCTGTGCAGGGAATAGCACACGGGAAGTTCTGACACATGGAGCCCTGTGGTTTGAGACTGAACGGTAGTTCACCTTGGCTACAGTAAGACTAGCAAGAGGCTGGAGATGGGCCAGGCTTTGTGTGCCATGTGAAAGAATCTGTTGTTGTTGCTATAGCTACCTAACTTTTTTTAAAATCAACTAGTTGCTTCTGTGAAATCTGTGTACATGTATGTATTATAATTTACTCAAATATTTTGTATTACAAGGGAAAAATTGAATTTTCAAATAGGAAATTTTATGTTTCTGTTTCCTTTGGAAGCTCATTGCTGGACATGAGTTTATGAGGGTTGCATTTAATACTTGCTGCAGTTTCAGCGAAAATAACATACTACTTTGCAACATCTCTATCAAAAATTTAAAAGAACCATATTTTAATTGTCTTAAAAATAAGCAAGTTACAATCAGGAGGGAAAAATCGTTAGCAAACCAGAAAACATCCGAAGAACAAACCACACTGTTTTAAAAATAATTTTGAACACTTGTTGCTGTGATGTAAGGAAGCAGCTGGACGAAGGGACAGCATATGCTATTGAAAAACCACCTTGGGTTTTAAGCTTTTTGAGGTTCAAGCATTTTCTCATCATTACAGATGCAGAGAAAAGTCCTACCCAGCCGACCTGCCTGTCGCCAGTGTCGTTATTTGTTTTTACAATGAAGCATTCTCTGCCTTGCTCCGCACTGTGCACAGCGTCCTGGACCGCACACCAGCTCACCTTCTCCACGAGGTCATCCTTGTTGATGATGACAGCGACTTTGGTGAGGAGCACTGTTCCTGATAGCACTGCATGCACGGTGTCATTGTCAAACACCAGCACAACTGACCACTCAGAGGCATAGTGAGCCTGCATCCTACCTGTGTAATTGCAACTGAGCCGGCTTCAGATAAATGCCTGCCCATTTATTATCGCAGAGTATTAAAGATTTACTTGTTTAGGGCTGGTGTGGTGGCTCAACAAGCTAATCCTCTGCCTGCAAGTGCCGGCATCTCATATGGGCGCTGGTTTATGTCCTGGCTGCTCCACTTCTGATTTAGTTCTCTGCTTGTGGCCTGAAGTCAGGAGCCAGAAGTTTCTTCTGGGTCCTCCACACAGATGCAGGGTCCCAAGGCTTTTGGCTGTCCTCCACTGCTTTTCCAGGCCATAAGCAGGGAGTTGGAAGGGAAATGGAGCAGCCAGGATATGAACAGGGGCCCGTATGAGATACGGTGCATGCAAGACAAGGACTTTAGCCGCTAGGCTACTGTGCCAAGCCCTGGTGTATTTTTTTTAAAGTCGTTTTTTTTTTTTTGAAGTAATGATAGATTCAGAGAAAACTGCAAAGAGATTGGCTTTGTACCTTTCGTCCAGACCTTCATTGGTTGTAGCCTACAAATTATAGTACAGTAGAGAACCAGGAATGAAATCCATGTCTGTGCATAACGCTGTGTGATTTTATCTCATGTGGATCCCTGGAGCCACCATTGCAAACAGAGTTTAGAACACTCCACCCCGGGGCTTCTCCTCGTGCTGCCTTTGTGTCCCTGCTGCACCCTCACCCATCTGCACAGCCGTTCGTCTCTGGGCTTTTGTTTCCATCTCTGTGAGTTTTTCTTAAGAATGTTACATGAATGGAATCAGTCATTTTGAGATAGGGTGTTTCCTCTCAGTGTGTGCCTTGGACTCGGTTTATCTGGTCAGTGTGTTCTACCAACTGTCTAGACAGAAGCAGATGCATGCTGGGAACTCTTCTTCATCTCTGAATGCCTGTATATTATGACTCATTACATATTCATGCACCTTTCTTTAATTCAACAGACTTGCCGTGAATGGCTTTCATGACATAAGAAGGCTTTTTATGTACTGTGTGAATTCAGCTTCTAGCACCCTTGCAAGATAGGTAGGAACCCTATTTTATTAAGGATGAAATACAAAAATTAACTAATTTGCTTAAGATCCCGTAGTTATTAGCTAGTAGAGTTGAGATTATACCTCTGCTCTACTTGCCTTTGCTGTATTATTATGGCAGATTGCAGAAGTGCCACGAGGAACCTTATAGGTCAATGACATTTCTTCATGCACTCAGGTGCCTCTTATATCAGTAATAGGATTGGTGTATTATTATGATTACACATACAAGGTAAGGAAATGCACACTAGCACTGGTGGAAGCAAAATCCTTAAACCCGAGTAAATATCAAAACTTTATGGGAGAAAATTTGAAAAGATTAAATAGAAGGTAGAACTTCCTTTCAATAATGAGTGACTTAAAAAATAAATCTAAAGTAGAAGATTGGTAAAAGTAATGAAGATTTATATTAGACTCAAATAATATCCAGAATTTATTGATTTTTCTTAGGCAGAGATAGAGTGAACGGAGAGAGTGCTCACAGTGTCTGACTCATTCCTCAGATTGCTAAAGTGGCCAGAGAGCTGGAGGCGGGCACTGGCTGCATGCTGTCCGAGGGCTCCTTCGTGGTCACCTCCAGTCACAGTGGCAGCAAGCTGTCGTCTGCAGCAGCAGCTGGGGTTGAACCCAGCGCGCTGACGCGTGATGTGGGAGCTGCTGCACTTGCTGTCTGCATCGCCAGGCCAAGGGCCTGCACTGTTTTGTTTTTTGTTTGTTTGTTTGTTTTGTTATTAATCAGGCTATATTCTGATTTTCATAGGGTGATGATTTTATTAAAAAGGAGAAATTCACAATGATTTATGGTGGTTTCTATACTGATTATGGAAAGAAGTAATCGTATCTTATCTGAATCTTAGAAGTTATGAAGTACAGTGCCTTTGGGAAAAGGTGTAAATTGATGTAAGGTGATATTTACTACTGCTGTTATGTAATTCTTGGTAGGGGAAACAAAAGTTGTCTCTTATTAACTCCTCTGTAAAGGTCTAAGACATAATTATTTGGAAACAAAAGCTGCATCTTTTTTTGTTTCACAAGTGAGTTCTATGCTGTCAGCTGAACATTTGTGTTTCAGACATCGTTATGTAAAATATTTTGATGGAAATTGTATGAAATTGCAGAACAGGTTTGTAAATATGATAAATACTTCTTTGGTCTGATATTCCAAATCTTGCTCTTAATATTTCCCTTTTTCTTCCGATAGGACAAGCTACAGTATTCTTTTAAATTAGAGCAGAAGACTCTATAATATGTGCTTGATAATTTGTTGTGCATTTTAGCAAATAGCAGATAGAAGTTCAGAACAGCTATCAGATGTCTTTACGTATGTTTCAGAATGAATGATTGAAAGCATCTTTATTTTCAGATGATTTGAAAGGAGAACTAGATGAATATGTCCAAAAACATCTCCCTGGAAAAATTAAAGTAATAAGAAATACAAAGCGTGAGGGGTTGATCCGGGGAAGAATGATCGGAGCAGCCCATGCCACAGGTATGCCTCCCGCAGGCTCTGTTCTGTGGGTGTGGGATACCAGGGGCCCAGGAGCAGCCCATGCCACAGGTACGCCTCCCGCAGGCTCTGTTCTGTGGGTGTGGGATGCCAAGGACCCAGGCACTTTCCTGATCCTATAGCAGTTTGTGAAAAGTAGTTCTTCCAACCAGCATTGCCAGGAGAGAAAGGGCTTGTCCAGGTCAGGAAAGACTTATTCATAGCTCTAGCTCCACTGCCCGCACTTAGAGCTTAGACAACAAGGAGGTGAATTCTGTTCCCCCTAGTGATCAATGTTCATAGTGGTACTTGATGTTAATTACTACTGCTCAAATAGGTTTTATATCCTGTTCACTTACATAAGCTGAAAATGTATCTGAACATGGGATGAGTGTTTGTGTGGCTGTGAGGTCGCCATCCGGGGGGAATCCTCCGCAGAACTCTCTCCTGCTCAGCCACAGTGTGGAGGCAGCAGGCCATGGCTCAGGGACTTGAGTCAGCACCGGTGTGGGTTCCAGCCTCCTGCCTCTGGCCTGGCCTGGCCCTTGCTGTTGTAGGTGTTTGAAAACAAATTCTCAAAAAGCTAAGTGAATGTTTATATGTTTAATACAAAAGTTAAAATATATGTACATGAAGTGTTTGATTTAAATTGTGTTCATTTTTAGCGTGGCATGTATACGGCTGGAGGTATGTGTCATGATTTTGGTTGATAAATGGACATAGGGTTGACTTACCTAACTGTGAAAGATACTTTTTCCATTTTATCTAATTTGAAAGGCAGAATTACAGAAAAAATGGAGAGACAGGGAGAGAAGGATCTAGAGATCTTTTGTTCACTGGGTCACACCTCAGAAGTCCACAGTAGCCAGGGAAGGGCCAGCACTGGGCCAGGCTGAAGCCAGGATGGCAGGGACCCAAAAACCTGGGGCCGTCTTCTGCTTTTCCCAGACTGTTGGTAGGGAGCTGGGTTGGAACTAAAGCGAACGGAGCAGGAGCAGGCACTGTATGGAATGGTCATGTCACAGGAAGCAGCTTTATATGCTTCGCCACAACAAATCAGAAATGCATCTACGGAAAGGATAGTCTCATTGATCCTATTATTACCTCTCAGATTTATATTCCCATTTTCATTTATAATTTTAAAAATTTGAGGGGCCAAAGCCTTGGGACCCTGCAGCCTCGTGGGAGAGTCTGCGAAGGCTCATACTTCTTGGCTTTGGGTCGGGTCGGCTCAGCTCTGCCATTACTACATTTAGGAAGTGAACCAGCAGATGGAAGATCTTCTCTCTGTCCTTTTCCTTTCCAATAAAAATAAATAAAACTAAAAAAAATCCTTTTCAAAGAAGTTTAATAAAGCTAAAATTAATGTGATAAAAATGTTGGGCATATGGTTTAATAGGTCGTGTGTGAATATGACAAATAAATAAGCAAAACCCCACGGATGTCATTTGAGAATTACTGACCTTGGCAGTGATCTCACGTGGGGGTGACTGACTCCTGTTGCAAGGTGCTCTGTAGTGCTGTCTACTGCCCCTCTGAGTTCAGCGAGAACTTCACTTGTAGAATCCTTTGTCTTAAACCCAAAGTGATCCCGAGCAGTTGACAAAAATAAATGAGTTAGCTCCTCATGCGCAGTTGGTAGTCATGTACAAATTGATTCTAAGACTTCAATTATGTTATTTTTTCTAGATTTGTAGTCAAGTAAAGAGAGTGAATCGGCCAGTTGAGTTATTGAAGGCAAGATGAAAAAAAAAAACCGTTGGGCATTTTACAAGTATTACTATTTGAAGCATTGGAGTGTTACAAATGTATGCTTACCTGTTTTCTTCTTCAAATAACATAGTGTTTTTTAATGAAATGTTCAGATTCTTCAGAAATGGTTTAGGGCCTCAGGAGCTAACAGTTTGGAGAAGCCATTGATTCAGGCAAGTCATTGTGACTGGGTCATTGTGACAATCTTGATTTTAGTTAACCTCTTTTTAATTAAAGAAATCAAGACTTCTTGAATTGAGAAAGCCATGAAGGCTTTTTTGTAAGGTGGCCTTAATGGACCTCAGGAGTGTGCCTGCTGCATTACGTGGCAGTCCTTTATGGCCCCCTGCTTGTGAGCCCTGGGCTGCTAGTGACCCATCCACTGCTGACACGGAAAGTCTGCTTGTCTGAGGTGTTTCTTGTATTAGGAGTTGAAACTGGGTACATCTGGTCGTTGAAGTTGTTCTCGGTGTAACACGTGTTTGCTCATTTTCTGATGACCTGTATTGACGTTGATATAAATCCTGGACACTGTCAGGCCCCAGTCTCCGGTCTCCTCCTTTTATCTTAAAGTTTCTTCACACATCAGCTGGTTAGTGAGTTAACCTAACCTTGTCATCTCATGTGTTCATTGATCTCCTCTGTAAAGAAGTTTATTCGAAAGGCAGAGTTAAGGGGAAGTCTTCCATCTGCCGGTTCACTCGGCAGTGGCTGCGACAGCCAGGGCTAGACTAGGTGAAGGCCAGGAGCCCCGAATTCCACCTCTCTCCTGCCTGAGTGGCAGGGGTTCAAGTACTTGAGTCATCTGCTGCTGCCTTACCAGGTACATGAGCAAGAAGCAGAGCAGCTGGGATTCCAGCCAGTTTTCTGATATGGGATGCCAGGTTTTGGAAGCAGTGGTTTAACCCATCGTGCCATAACGTAACTGCCGTGGAAGTAACATCTGGATTTTTGATCTCATCTTCATGGTTTCTTTTTTTGTTTGTCTTGTTTGTTTTCAGGAGCCCCAGGCCCTGAGTTAACTATCACTGGCTGAATGAAGCCCAGTTTTCCATTGTCAAATTTAACCCAACAATGCGTCACTGACCAATCAAATGAGGGCCATGAGTCTTGGGGGCCAACCAGAGTTGTGCCCAGGAGCTGAAAATATACCTGTCAATTCTGTCTTCAGTCTAAGAATCGTTATCCCTAACTTCTCAGGCAGCCCAGCATTTATGCCCAGCTCCTTACTTTATATGTTGCAGTAAGCACCAACCTCACCTCACCGCCCTGATGTCAGTGATTGTCCTGTTCCTAAGACTAGTGGATGCAGATATATATTTGGAAAAAAAGTTCTTTTAAAGATTTTATTTTGATTGGAAATGCAGATTTACAGAGAGAAAGATCTTCCATCTGCTGCTTCACTTCCCAAATAGCCACAATGATGCTCTGATTCTGTTTCCTAGGGGGTTGGGGAAGTATATTCTAAAGATACACTGGATTTCTAAATAACTAATAACAGTATCTATACACAGCTGTGCCAAAACAGCTTGAAATCATTCAACAGCCAGTCCTCTGAAAAGCAGATGAGTGTTGCAAGGCTTTGGATGTTTCTACTAAAGAGTATCTCAAGTGTTCTGCGTATTATGTGTGCTGCTTCATTATAGCTGCTGCAGGCTGACTGTCAGACTTACTGTGTGTAGGGTTGGCCCTGAAGGAATGGTTTGTGGATCAGGGCTGGAAGGCTGGCGGTCTGTCTCCTGCCATGTCAGGTGTGCTGCCCAGGGTGCGTGCTGAGTCGCTCTACTGAGCCGCCAATGCTTGCCTCCTCAGGAGAAGTCCTTGTGTTCCTGGACAGCCACTGCGAAGTCAATGTGATGTGGCTGCAGCCCTTGCTGGCGGTTATCCGTGAGGACCGGCACACCGTGGTGTGCCCCGTCATCGACATCATCAGTGCCGACACACTGGCCTACAGCTCGTCCCCTGTCGTGCGTGGAGGGTTCAACTGGGGCCTGCACTTCAAGTGGGATCTCGTTCCGCTTTCCGAGCAGGGAGGAGCAGAGGGCGCCACTGCACCTATTAAGTAAGATTTCTCTTTAATGTTTGAAAAGCTCCCACCTGTGCTTCCTTAAAAAGAACTACGTGGAAGAGCCTTTCCCTCCTAAGGAGCACGAGTGTTAACTTCATCTGTCCATCAGAAAGTTTGAGTCTTTACTGGATTTTTGTGTGTCTGCCGAATCCTAAGGAAGTGTGTGGATATGAGTTTGTGCCCTCAAGGACTTACAGTCTTGTCATAAAGACAAGTGAGCTCATCCATGCGCTGAGGTAGCTGCAGACTGGCAGTCTGCGGGAGCACCTTGTGTGCTGTGTCTGTGTGCCACCGTCTGTGGCAGCGGGCACCTGTGCACTCTCACTTGACCATCCCGTATCTGAAACGCTAGGGGCCAGAGTGTTTTGAACTTGGGATTTCTGTTTCTCAGATTTTTGAAATAGAAACTCAAGACAAAACACTAAATCCATTTTTGCTTCCTGTGCATATTGTACACACGACTTAGCAGTGACTTTATGTAATATCTTTAGTGTGCGTGCCTTTTGACTGTAACTCATCACATGCCATCATGTGTGGCATTTTTCACGGAGAGCATTATATTGATTCTCTTGGATTTTCAGATTAGAGATGCCCAGCTTGTAGTGTGAACAGTGCTGTGAGGGATGCTAATACAAGACTCTTCTTCAACTGGGGTTAGAGGAATGGATTCCATTCTTACCAAGACGTAGTTTGTTTCTGTTTTATTTTTTAAAGTTCTTGAATCTACTTTTTAAAAACCTAAAGAACATGCATCAAGAGTGTGTGTGTGAGCAAGCATTAAGTATATGTACAAGGTATACATTATGTGCAAGCACACACAATGTGATAAAGGATTTACAGTGTGAGCACCAGTGTAAGTTCTGCCCTTGTCACAGAAACCCCGTGAGCTTCTGTTCCTGGCCCAGCCCTGACATTGTCCTCACTCCTCTGGATGGCTCTGGCGCCTGCTGCGCCTGAGTCTGTAAACTCAGCATTTTGTGCTACTGATTTTAAAGATTCTGTGTGCCTCTGAACCCATGTGGGAGATCCAGAAGAAGCTTCTGGCTCCTGTCTTTGGATTGGCTCAGCTCTGACCATGGCAGGCATTTGGGGAGTGAACCAGTGGATGGAGGATCTTTTGGTCTCTTCTGTAAATCTGCTTTTCCAATAAAAATAAAACTAATCTTAGAAAATTTAGAGTATAATATAATATGATCCCCTACCTCTTCTTTCTCTCCAGAGACAATTCTTTTAAAAAGACTTATTTATTTTCTTTGAAAGGCTGAATTAGAGATTGGAAGAGAGAGAATCTTCATCTACTGGTTCACTCCCCAAATGGCTATAAGGACCAGGTTGGCCAAACCGAAGCTAGAAGCTAGGAACTCCGGTCCTGGTCTCCCATGTGGATCACAGGGCCCAAAAAGGTCAGGTCATGTTCTGCTCTTCTCCCATGCGCTTTAGCAAGATCTTGGATTGGAACTGGAGCAAGCACAGCTCAGATTGATGCTCATAGGTGGCAGCTTAACACAGGTGCTATGACCCAGCCTGGCATAGCCTGCCTGCTGTCCCAGCTGTCACTGGCGGGTGTTCCAGCCTAGCCCAACTCGGCATGACCCACACCCTGTCCTGGCTCTTGTGATCCCCAGTGGGAGCTGCAGCCTGGTAAGGAAGTTTCCCAAGTTCTGCAGTCAGCCGTGGCTGGGGCATGGAACCCTCTTCTGAGCACCAGTGAGGGCACATAGCAGCTGGCAGCCTGGGCGGAGGGATTCTGTCTAAAGTTTTGAAGGAGTTGCAGGGGTTCCCGTGGTTGAAATGGAGTAGCTAAGATGGAAGCAGTGCCAACTTCAAGTCTAGCAGAAACAGAAGCAGGCCCTCTGTGTTGGCAAAGGGGCATCGTGTCCTGGTGGTATCAGCCTGAAGTCTGGCAGGGGGCGTGGGGCCCTGGGACCTCAGCCCCGGGTTTCTGTGCAAGGTCTTAGCCCCCAAGTACCTTGTACTTTCCCAAGCCGATCATTCCTGTTGGGGTTGTGCTGGTGGGGCTTGGGGAAGGCTGAGCAGGGCAGTCTCGTGAACACCTCTGCTCTGCTGCTGAGGCTCAGCCAAAGCCCACAGCTCACACTCTCCCTGGGTGCCTCTGCTGAGGTGGACTCATGGCCTGTGGCCACTGCAGGTCACCACAGCTGATGCCTGGCTAGGGGAGAAGGCCAGCTCCCTGGGTCCTCTGCCCTCTGCGTGGCCTTGGAGCAGGCGCAGAGGCTCCCTCTGCAAGCATCAAGCTAGTGACGGGGCTGTACTACCTGCCTGGTGTTCCATCTTGGCCTGCTGCTGAGGTTCAAGGCCGCCTGGGCTCTCCTCCAGTCCTTCCGCCCTGAGGCCGAGTCTTACACTTGGCTGTCTGCTCCGGCTTATGGGAGGAGCCATAAAGGCAATGCCCTGGCTCTGCAAGCTGACACTAGACTGGGTCACACTGACTCTTGGAACTATAGGGCCCTGAGTTGTTCCTGGTGCATGGCAGGCCCATCTGAGACAGGCAGTGATGCAGGCTGAAATCCCGGTTCATTCTACTCATGAGCAGGCTTGTGCTGGTAGCAGCGATGATCTACATGCTCTTTCTACTAGGGGGCTGGCTTGGGGAAAGGGGCATGTAGTCTCTGGTGCTGGGTACCATGGCAGGACGGGGCCTGGGTGCCGGGGCAGGACGGGGCCTGGGTACCATGGCAGGATGGGGCCTGGGTACCGGGGCAAGGTGGGGCCTGGGTGCCGGGGCAGGACAGGGCCTGGGTGCCGAGGCAGGACAGGGCCCAGGCTCCAGGCAGAGCTCTGAGTGCTTTGCTTTCCGACTCCCTTCCTGCTCACCAGCAGCCCAAGGTGGCGGGATTGCTGGAGGCAGTCACTTGAGCTCTTGCAGGCTGTGGGTGTTTGCACAGGTGCATGGGGACCCGACACTGGGCTTCATGAAGTAAGTGTGGCACTAGGGTTCAAGCCTGAGGTCTGGACCTCATCCCTATCCCACAAGCAGACAAAGTCTGGCTGCACGGCTCGGAGCCCAGGAGGGACAGTGCGGTTCACTCCTTCCTGTTTATTCATTGTTTTCTTATGCTTCTAGAACCAGGTGCTCTGGTCTCTGCCCAGCTTCCTCAGCCCTCAGGAAGGGGGCTTGGCACCTGACCTGCTGTTGAGTTGGTGTCTCTGAAGGAGCCGCTCCCTGGAGGGCTGCCCCGCCCTCTAGGATCTTCCTTTAGGGTCACTCTATTCCAGCTGTCCTGGCGAGCTTGCTCTCATTCTGACTGCTGAACACTGCTGGGGGTTTTCTTTAGCTGGGCCTTCTAGTGAGTGCTCCTCTGTTGCCCTGGCAGCGCTCGCAGGGCACCACACTGCTGAGTGCTCCTCTGTTGCCCTGGCAGCGCTCGCAGGGCACCACGCTGCTGAGTGCTCCTCTGTTGCCCTGGCAGTGCTCGCAGGGCACCACGCTGCTGAGGATTACTTTACTCAGTCTGCAGCAGGAGCTGCGGGTGCTTCAGCATCCACGCCTCAGTCAGGAACTGTCTAGCTTCTGTCAGTGAAGAAGACAGCATCACTCTTTTCTTTCTTGCAAGATAAATTTGGATTTTCTTTCTTTTTTTTTTGAGATTTATTTTATTTGAAAGTCAGATACACAGAGAGGAGGAGAGACAGAGAGGAAGATCTTCTATCCGTTCTGCTGATTCACTCCCCAAGTGAGCGCAATGGCCGGAGCTGCGCTGAGCCAAAGCCAGAAGCCCAAAGCCTTTTACGGGTCTGCCACGCGGGTGTAGGGTCCCAAGGTTTGGGCCGCCCTCGACTGCCTTCCCAGGCCTCAAGCAGGGAGCTGGATGGAAAGTGGGCTGCCGGGATTAGAACCAGCACCCATATGGGATCCTGGTGTATGCAAGGCAAGGACCTTAGCTGCTAGGCTACCACACTGGGCCCATAAACTTGGATTTTCATTAGCTGCTTGAATTTCTTTCTTTTCATCCCTCCTTCTTTCTTTCTTCCTCTCCTCTCTTTCCCCCCCTTTTTCCTCCCTTCCTCCCATTTTTCCTTCCTGGGAAATTACAAAGACACAGAATCTTTGATGCACTGCTTCACTCCTCAGATGGCTGCAGTGGCCGTAACTAGCCATGCCGAAGCCAGTAGCCCAGAACCCCACCTGAGTCTCCCGTGTGGGCGGCGGGAGCCCAAGCACCCAGGCCATCTCTTGACAGCTTTCTGGATCTGAAGCAGAGCTGATGAGACTCACACAGAACATGGCTTTCTAAATGGCAGCTGGATCCACTGTACCCAGTGCGTGTCCCCAGAATCCTTTTTATCCCCGTGACTCTGTTAGAATTCCGAGGGAATTACATAATTCATTTCAGGTTTCTAACAAACAGTTACAGTAAGAAAAGTAACCTTCATATGTCACAGTGAGCATGTCGATTTCAGCTGTGTGGCCCAGCTCATTCCATCATAGATAAAATATGTAACAGGTAATCTTGTTTTTTTAAGGTCCGAGACTATCCTGAATTGTCTTTAAGCAAAAATACTGGGTAAGGTGGCAGTGTAGGGCAGTGCAGTAACTGCGTCCTTTCCCAGGTCGCCCACGATGGCTGGAGGGTTATTCGCCATGGACAGACTCTACTTCAACGAGCTTGGACAGTACGACAGCGGCATGGACATCTGGGGAGGAGAAAACTTGGAAATATCATTTCGGGTAATTTTATTTTTTGGCATACCAGTTATTTTTATGTAATGGAGTATATATTCCTTATATATTTTCTGTGCTTACATATTTTCTATAAAGTGATTATCTTTGTTGACAAATTGTGCTTAATGAATGATACTTTACCGTAATCTGTGATGGATAATAGCTACTAAAAATGCAAAAGTATGTAAGACATATGTTTGTTTTATAATTTTTAAAGTTTGGTTGTAAAGAATGATTGATAATTAACTCAGGAAGTTTTACATATATGTTTAATCTCTTTCTTTGTTCTGTCAGTCTGTTAACTTTAATGGAACCACTAGATGTAGGTAGGTAGGATGAACACGTTTGCCTGTTTGCCTGCGACCATCGGTGCCCGTCTGTCCTGGCAGAGTCGGATCGCCTCCCTGTCAGGAGCGTGCTCAGCTTGATGCTGAGCTACGCCGTCACCCTATTGTGGCTGCACATTCGGGCACTTTTCAGTCTGAGGAAAAGAATTCACCTTTTATAAATTCCCCTTTCTTCAGTCTCTTCTCCAGTGTCTGAGGTTGAGGAGATGGCAGGATGGGTGGGGTCAGTGGGGACAAGGCAGAGGGGGGACACAGGAGAGCTGGCATCTCCTTTGCAAGCCGATGCCCCATTTCTGCCCCCATCACTTCCTTGCCCTGCTAACGGAATCCTCAGTGTCTCCATAATGTTTGTACATGTGCCATTACGTATATTTGCCAAGTGTGTTGAAAGGCATAGTAGATGACAGTGGTTAAGTCTTTCCTTTAGATAAGGTAATTGTGTCCCACAATAATAAGCTGGCTGGGGTCGGCATGTGGCCTGGTAGTTATGGTGCCCAGCTTGAGTCCTGGCTCTGCTGATGTATTCCCTGGGAAGCAGCAGGTGGAGTTGAAGTGGTTGGATCCCTGCCGCCCATGTGGACTGAGTTCCAGGCTCTGGCCCCAGCCCAGCCCTGTGCACTGGGGATGTTTGGGGAGTGGTGGAGGAGCGCTCTGCCCCCCACACCCCATGCTCTAATAAATAACAACTTAAAAAGTTTTTAAAAGCATAATAGATAATCCTTATATCTTCTGTCCTTATGCTTAAAACAAACCAAAAAAAACTATAACTGTGTAGTCAAGGGGAAAATTTAGATGAGAACGAGTCTGTAAGGTCTCAGCCAGGTGCTTGTGCATATTTGATAAAGAGTGCACACGTGGTTAGAAATGCCTGCGACACCGAGAACAGTCCCTAGGATCAGATCCTGTGATCTGTTCAAGTGAAAAAGCATGGGAGGTACAGGTTAGATATGAGGTAGTAAATAGTGCATTTGTTTAGAATTTGATTCCTTTATAATTATAAAACCAATTAACCAATTTTTTTTTACTAAAAATATATCTGGCTTCTATCTGAATGTTTATTTATACTAAGATAAAATATCTTGCAAAGTTTCATAAAGAGTGGTTTTCTGAGGTTCATACACTGACTTGGCGTCTGTTAACAGTGTGAGATGTCTGTTAATACGTGTTTTTTTTCTGGCCAGATCTGGATGTGTGGAGGTAGACTCTTCATCATCCCTTGCTCTAGAGTAGGACACATTTTCCGGAAAAGGCGACCCTATGGATCTCCTGAAGGCCAAGACACCATGACCCACAACTCTCTGAGGCTGGCCCACGTCTGGCTGGACGAGTACAAGGTGAGGTCTCGAGTGGAGCAGGGCCTGCAGGCCGTGGACTGCTTTGGTGGTGGTTTTGCTCATGCAACCTGAAGCCTCTGCGCTCTTGGGCCTTGGCCGGCTTGTGCTCCACTTGCACATCAGCTCTCCCTCGGTTTGTTTCTCCCTGTCAAGCAGTGTTTCACTCCTTTTAGCTTTCCAGCGGCTTCTCTAGGAGGCCGTGCAGCCAGGCAGAGCTCTGCTTTGCTTTCCTTCTTCCTCCTGCTGCCCTTGACTGCACTGTGTGCAAGCCCCACTGCACAGCCACAAGAGGATGTCCTTGTTCCTTTCTGCCTTGGGCAGCGCGCGGGCTGTCCTTTGTAATAGCTTTGAGGTGAGCTTCACAAATCAGTCTTGGAATGTGCCTGCTGACTGTGCAGCTAAGTTGCCATTTCTGGACATAGCAGACAAATGGGATCCTGGAATAGGTGGCCTTTTCTGTCCGGCTGCTTGCACTGAGTAGGAGTTGGCCAGTTCGTCCCTCCTGCCCCATGCACGCACACTCACAGTGGAGCCATTCCTCACCTGCTGGCCAAGTGGCTTGTTCCCACTTCTGGCTGTTAATGGAGGATGCCGCTGTATTTGAGTCAGTTCAAAGTGAAACAGTTGTGGAGCACATGGTGTGTGCTGGGCTCTGCGTTTTGGAGATGAAAGAGGAGTACAGATGCATAATAATTTACCTCTCTGTGAGACAAATCTACACGGGGTAGCCAGTGCGTGCCGCAGGAATGAGGAGAGCGAAGCGACCAATGGGGAAGGAAGGTGGGGCCTCTGTGGTGCTGGTGGAGTGGTGCCCAGCTCCCCCCACCCCTCCTCCAGGCAGGGCTCCCTCAGGTCCGGCATCATGCGACCTTTGAATCATTTGTAATGTAGTTCCCAAAATATGGTCCCCAGGCTCCTGCCTTCCTGGCCGCCCATTCAGGAGACCTGCAGGTCACACCCACCTTGACAGATTAACCATGCTGACATTCCACTGCTGGTGCGGGGCGCTTAGTGGACACAGTTGCTGTCTTAGCATAATCAAGCTACGAGCAGCGTGTTCTCCTGGTCATTGCGTTACTCAGTACTACCCACGGTACTTCTGTTCAGCTGCCCACACAGACGGTAAGGGAAAAGCCAGGTGCTTGGGACTTTATGAGTTGAATGTGTCTGCAGTGCTAGGGTTCCAGATGAGCAGTGGGAGATGACCCAAGTGTTGGGGCACCTGCAGCCACATGAGACACAGATGGAGCTCCTGGCTCCGGCCTGGCCAGGCCCTGGCCACTGCCATGTTTTGGGACGTCAACAAGTGTGGAAGATCTCTTACTCTCCCTCTCTTACTGCAACTCTGCTTTTCAGACAATCTGTGAACAAGGAAAAGAAGAAAAAGCTAATTAAGATTGACTGATAAGGGGCTCGCACTATGGCGGGCAGGCTAATCCTCTGGTTGCAAGTGCCAGAATCCCATGTGGGCACCAGTTCTAGTCCTGGCTGTTCCACTGCTGATCCAGCTCTGTCCTTATGACCGGGGGAAGCAGTGGAGGTTGCCCTGCATCCACGTGGGACACCCAGAAAAGTTCTAGGCTCCAGCTTCAGATCAGCTCAGCTCTGGCTGTTGCGGCCATTTGGGAGTGTGAACCAATGAATGGAAGATTTCTCTCTCTCTGTAACTGTTACAAATAAGTTTTTAAAAAGTGATAAAGTAGCAAAAATAACTTTTACTAAATGTCAGTGTCTTTCTGGTATTATGTGTGTATGTGCTCACACAGAGGGCACTTGACTGCTTGTTGAAATGTAACAGCTGGTCTAAGGAAAAGGTCATGCAGTTGTTTGTGTGTTGAGTGTGCTATTTTCTAGAATGTTCTGTTTATGTAAAAAGAATGCCTGAATTCATAAGGTGTGGTCATGCATACTAGGGTACTTTTCTCAGAAAAGGGCCAAGTGATGAAAATACCAAGTAAGCATTTATTATAACTGATAAAATTCAACCTCTCAGGTGAAAAATACAATTTTTTAACAGGGTATCTTTTTTTAAAAAAAGATTTACTTATTTTTATTGGAAAGTCAGATATACAGAGAGGAGGAGAGACAGAGAGGAAGATCTTCCGGCCGATGATTCACTCCCCAAGTGAGCACAATCTATGCTGATCCAAAGCCAGGATCCAGGAACTTCTTCCGGGTATCCCACATGGGTGGAGGGTCCCAAGGCTTTGGGCCATCCTCCACTGCTTTCCCAGGCCACAAGCAGGGAGCTGGATGGGAAGTGGAGCAGCTGGGATTAGAACCAGCGCCCATATGGGATCCCGGCGCATTTAAGGTGAGGACTTTAGCCGGTAGGCCACGCCGCCGGGCCCTAGGGTATCTTTTTTTAAAACACTGTTCTTTCAAAGGCAGAATGACAAGAGGGACAGAGGTCTTCTTCTGCTCTTCCTCCCCCAGTGGCTGTGGTGGCCAGACTCAGGCCAGGAGCCAGGAACTCCACCTGGGTTTCCCAGATGAATGGCAGGGCCCTGGCGCTTGGGGCATCTACTGCTCCCTTCCCAGTGCATGCGCAGAGAGCTGGATTTGAAGCGAAGCAGTTGAGACTCAAACTGACCCTGTGATGTGGGCTGCTGGCGTCAACACTGGGTCTGAGCCCGTGCTCCATGATGCTGGTTGTAAACACTGGAATTTTGGAAAGCTTGACCCCAAGCTTGACTGTAGATCAGCTCATTTCTGATACAGTCAGTGACGCGTATGGATGTAGCTTTTAGATAACAGACAGTGAGATTTGTCAGTATTTGCAAGAACTAGGAGGGCCAGTGGTTTCAAGATAACTAACCCATGCTGTTACAACAATCTTGCATTCAGATGGCAGGGTAGGCAGATTACACGCAGCAGCCGGAACAGTCCGGATGGGGCTTATTTCATGTATTGAATTATGCTTGTAAAGTTACTGAGTTTTGTTTGAGAGAGTGATGCTTACCATATTTTTTAAATACTGTAACAGCTGTTTCCAGTTACATATTTTTATTGGACCATACTTTAGGAAATATTGTCAGCTAAGACAGTGTGTACCAATACATTACATGTAGGCAAGAGAATGACTTCTTTTAAGCAAACAACAAATTTGCAGAAATAGCAAATGCCAGCTATTCTGATGTTTTTGTTTTTCATTATAGTATTTTAATGGGTTAATAAGCAGTTTCAATTTATAATAATAAATATCACTAGATAAAACCAAGCAGGACCTCTTTGGACAAGTCATTAAGAATGTGGACTCATGAGGCTCAAGTTTGAGAATCACCATTCTCAGATATGACATATGATAGGCCTTCAACAGTCTATGAAAGTTTTGTATAATCATTAATTTAAAGATTTATTTGAAGGGTAGAGTTACAGGATGGTGGGAGAGGGGCGCACAAAAGGAGAGGGAGGGAGAGAGATAGAGAGATCTTCAGTCTGCTAGTTCACTCTCCAGGTGGCCACAGTGGCCTCTGCTGGACCTGATCGGAGCCGGGAGCTCCTTCTAGACCTCCCGTGTGGGTAACAGAAACCCAGGCGCTGTGCCATCTTCTGCTGTGTCTCCAGGCATCTTAGCAGGGAGCTGACCTGGAGGTAGAGCTGGGAATCACCAGCACTCACAGGGGATTCCATGTTTCTACAATCTTTGCTCTTGGCATGGCAGTTCAGTTTTATACATTTTTCCATTTCTGAATTTGGAATATGTCTTTCCTTCTTAAGGGTTTATTTATTCCAAAGGCAGAGTTACAGAAAGAGGGGAGAGACAGAGATCTTCCAGCCACTGGTTCACTGCTCAGATGGCTGCAGAGCTGGGGCTGAGCCAAGCTAAAACCAGGATCTTGGAACTTCCCTTGGGTCACCCAGTGGATAGCAGGGACCCAAGGACTTGTGCCAGCCTCTGCTGCTTTTCCCAGGCACGTTGGCAAGGAGCTGGATTGGAAGTGGAGCAGCTGGGACTGACCCAGCTCACCTGTGGGATGCTGGCACTGCGAGGCAGAAGCTTGCAGTGCTGTTCCACAGCAGCAGACTCGGGGTGTGACGTACAGACTGTGAACCTGCATTAAAAATTTCCATTGACATTTTCTGATACCATTAAGAAAATACATGAAAAGTAGCTTCTCATTTTCAGTTGTTCTTTAAACCTACTCAATTTTTAACAAAAGTTTTTTTTTTTTTCCCCTGCTAAACCAGGAGCAGTATTTTTCTTTAAGACCTGATTTGAAGACCAAAAGTTATGGAAATATCAGTGAACGTGTTGAGCTGAGGAAGAAGTTGGCCTGTCACTCATTTAAATGGTATTTGGACAATGTTTACCCAGAGATGCAGATTCCAGGGCCCAATGCCAAACCCCAGCAGCCTGTCTTCTTCAACAGAGAGCCAAAGCGCCCCAGAGTGCTGCAGCGTGGCAGGGTAGGAAGCCGTTCTGTCAATGCGTTTCATGAAAATTTAGCGGAAAAGTTGGAAATGTAAAAGCTATAACTGACTTTGTAAACTTAAACTCTAGATTTAACGGTAAGATTTTAGCTTGCTTTCCATTTTGTTCCTTTATTGAAGACTTTAGGAAGATCTCCTTGTAACTTTGTCTATAATGCCATCTCAAATATTTTTAAAAAATTTGCTTTTAATATCAACATCCTTTATCTGCTGGCATTAGAGAAGGTGACTTCTGCTGCAGGTTAGGCGACAGCTCCCAGCTCTGGGATCACACACACAGCTCGCAGGTGCAGAGTGGCAGTCTGAGAGACAGCGCTGACCTGTTTTTCTCCCTGTGTCCACCACCCCTTTTTTTGAGGGAAGCTTCATAGTTGTATTATTACACCTGAAATGCAGGGGTCTTGCCATGATGTCAGTCTTTCCCCTTGAATCATTCCTTTGAACTAGTGTTCTGTAAGCTGAGGACTGGACCTGCCATTTTAGTCTCCCCTACTTTTTGGGCCCTCTGATAGCCTCTTCCACAATGCCAGCTGTCCTTTAGTGGTCAGAAATAAGTGTAGAACTTTATCCCTCTTGTCCTCTGTGCTCTGCAAGGTGAAAAACAAAACAAACACCTGCCAAGCTGGTTATTTTGGTTTTCTCGTTAAGTAGAAAGAGTTCCTCGTGTATAACCATGTGCTGACTGACTGTGCTGTTCGTGGTGTGGCCTACGTATCTCAGCTTTGCAGTCCCCAACTTAGCATGTCATGTTTATGTGCTGTGTGTGTTTTTTTGTTCTATTTTGTTGGTTTCGTTTTCTTTATTTATTTATTAGAAAGGCAGAGTGAGAGCCAGGCCTCTCACCATGGGTTCACTCCTCAAGGGCCACGAGAGCCTGAGCTGTGCCAGGACAGCCTGGAGCCTCCCCTGTACCCATTCCCCCCACGTTCTAGAGGACAGGGAAAAAATTCTGTGTTTTCATTTTCTTCAGCCCCATAGGCTGTAGCAGATCAGTGGGCTTGTTTATTTGGCTCGTGTTACACTTGACACTGCCTGCACCTGGCTGTAAAAGTTGCTTGGTCCTTGTAATATGTATCCTGATGTTCCCATGACCAGGGACTGGGAGTTGGGAATAAAGAATGCCCACTACCTGCTTGTGGCCCGTGGACTCGCCCTCGGCAGCAGTGTCTCCGTGCTTCCTGCAGGAACTCCTCACCTCAGGCTGCGTGTGTTTGCTGTGCTCTCAGCGCTGTTCTCTGCTCTTACAGCTCTACCATTTGCAGACCAACAAGTGTCTGGTGGCTCAGGGCCGTCCAAGTCAGAAGGGCGGCCTGGTTGTGCTCAAGGCCTGTGACTATGGAGACCCCAATCAGGTGAGTGATGCTGGGCACACAGGCAGGCATCTGTGACCTCTCATCCCAGGGCTGACCCTAAAAGCAGCACAGACCGCGGCGCTCTCCTCCTGGTAGACTTGTCCTTTGTTCATTGTCCCAGTCGTGCTTTCAGATGTTATATGGGAAGAATTATGACTGAAAAACTGCGAGTTGCTGGAAGAGGCAAACCTAAACCTTAACCAAGACAAAGCAGCTTGCAGACTCTCATCTTTTTGTCGTTATGATTTATTCAAGGCGAGTCCCCCACTAGCAGGCAGGCCGTCTTTCTCCATACAGTCATCTGTCTCTAGGTATACCCCAAGACACATTTTCCCCTCAAATACATCATATCTCAACCACAAAAATGAAACTGCAAAGGCTAAACAAAGATAAATGAGATTTTCTTGTTCTTGCTCTAGTGCAAACATATCAGGTACAAGTTTTCATATCACATTTTTCTGATTTTTAGCAGGAATTGTTTAGCAGGAATCTGAAAGCAACTTCATTTTATTGGTATAAATTAGCTTCCATTTATGTATGTATACCTTAAGTTACGCTAAAATAGCTAAGAAAAAACTTCTCGATTCGGCACTGTAATTTCAAACTGTCTGATGAGGCAGCACTGGCCTTGCGGTGAGCTAAGCCCCTGGCCGCGGCGTCCCGAGTGTGGAGCCTAGGGTGTGTCCTGGAGGCGGGTGGAGTCCGTCACTCAAGTAAAAAAAACAGGCTTTGTAGGCATAGTAAGTGAAATGTTCCAAAATTAATGGATATTTATTTTGATATTTCTCAGAACATGTAATTGTTAGGAGTGATACAGATGTTGAAAACATGGCTGACAAAAGGAAGTTTGCATTTCTGGAAGGGAAGTGGGCAGTGTGTGCACCCTGATTAGAACTGGTGACATTTCAGTGGCGCAACAGGTCACGGTGGGATGAGATGGCTGAATTACCCAGCTACCTGTGGTGCTGGAACTGTTCCATGGCCAAGTGTATGTGGGTGTGGCTGCTTCCGTAAGGGCAGTCAGACCAGCAGTGTGCTTGCCCCGCCATGCTCCGCACACTGAAGGTGTTCAGCAGCTGCATGGGCCTGCTGGCGCCTGGACTATCAGGCACTAGCACTGTAGTCTGTTAGCCTGTGACTTTGATGAAGAGTTCTCCCTTCCTGTTAGTGGAAATCCTCACATCTGTTTTAGGGTGACAGGTGAGAACAGAAGAAAATGCATTTGTTTTGAATTTAGTGATGATGCCTGTTGGAGAATAGGTTGTTGTATTTTGGGCCTGTGTTTCTAAAAATCATCTTAAAGATGAAGACAAGTCTGAAAGCGCCTGTGCCCGAGGAGAGCTGCTTCTGGACAGTCAAGGTGAAGTGCGCCGGCTCGTAGCTGCACTGAGGACTAGGGGGAGCGCTCCGTCGCCTCCTGTGAGATGTGCACCAGCCACACACAGGCGGACTGCGTGGCAGTGACGGCCACGGAAGGAGGTCTGTGTCGTGATTGATGCCACTGGTTAGCTGAATGGAACCAGGCTGAACTACTGCTTCGATTTCTTCCCAGAAATCCCCTCTCCTCTGTGGAGTCATTCCACTTCAGACAGCTGATTTCTGCTTCCTTGCTGTGTCTGCTTTAAAACCAACCCGAACAAATCCGTTTTTGTTTTGCAGGATGCAAAGTGCTGTGCGTTTGTGTGCTCCAGTACTTAAAGCAAAACTTGTTTTTCTTCTCTTCTAGGTCTGGATTTATAATGAAGAACATGAATTGGTTTTAAATAACCTTTTGTGTCTAGACATGTCAGAGACTCGCTCATCAGACCCACCACGGCTCATGAAGTGCCATGGCTCTGGGGGGTCCCAGCAGTGGACCTTTGGGGTAAGGAGATGGGGTCACACCATGGAGGCTGTCCCCTGAGCAGCCAGCAGCCCCCTAGTCAGTTGAATGGCCATCTCTCTTCTGAATTCCCTCTGTACCATGTTCTTCCAGTAAACTGCACGCACATGCGTGTGTCTGTTTTATTTTGAAAGAGTGACAGATCTTCCATCTAGTGGTTTACTCCCCAACGGCCACAACTGGGCTAGACCAAAACCAGGAACCAGAAGCCTCATCCTGGTCTCCCCTCTGTGTGGCAGGGGCCAAAGCACCCAGGCCATCTTTTGCTGCTTTCCCAGATAATTAACAGGGAGTGCGGTTGGAAGTGGAGCGACTGGGACTTGAACCAGCGCCCATATGGGATGCTGGCAGCTTTCCTTGTGCACCACAGAGATGCCCCCTTCCCCTTTTTAAAGGGTTATTTACTTATTTGGAACCCAGTGAAAGAGAGAGGGTGAAACACAGAACTATTTAAATAAATGATGGTACTTCTTTCCTTGCTACTTACTTCTTTGTTTCCCCCGCCAGAAAAATAACCGGCTGTATCAGGTGTCTGTTGGACAGTGCCTGCGAGCGATGGATCCACTGGGACAGAAAGGCTCCGTTGCCATGGCGATCTGTGATGGCTCCCCCTCACAACAGTGGCATTTGGAAGGTTAAGGTCCATGTTTGGGCCAGAAGGGTGATCCGCTGGGCGTTGCCTGCTCCGGCAAGGGAGCACCTCACTGCTGCGCAGATGCAGGCCAGCTGCTCTGGAGGGGGACTGTCCTCTCGGAGCCAGGTGACGGCAGGGGTGACAGAGACGGGAGCTGCGTGGGACCCTCTGTAGGTGCAGAGGTCATTTCTGAGCTGCTTTTAAAGAATTCCATTTAGTGACCCGGAATATAGACATAATTCTGTAAGGAATTGATATAGGACAAAACCCAGGAAATGTACATTTCTGTTGAAATTTATTGATGTTTTTTAATCTGTGTAATGATGAAATTAGTTTGTATCTGATTAGGAGCTTATCATAATTTCCTTTCTTAGAAAACTTAGGGCATACTTAATTCTAGAATGTTCTTAATAGATAATTTAAAGACTGAATCTGTTACTTTTCAGGGGGCAAACCATTTATAAGACCATATTTAAGAGGCAGTTAACTTATAAATTATTTTTGATGAATTATGGTCCTGTCTACACTTAAAATAAAGGATCCTTTTGATTATTTAAGTAGGATCGTGTGTGTGTATGCTGTCTTACAGGGATACATAAGAAATACTCCTGGATTCAGCTTATGGACAGGTAAACTAATTAGCAGTTGCTAAATTGAGGGAAGAGTCCTGGGCTTTAGCTGGAGGTGTGTGACTCACTGTGTGACTCTGTCAAAGATGCTTCTCAACATGCAGGCTGCATCCTTAAGCAGATGGTTGGCTGTGGAATTCCAGATCTGTAGATGCCAAAATGCAAAAATAATATACATGGAGAGCAGAAAACGGCAGAATTATAACTGTAAAGCCAATAATATTGATAATCACATTAAATGTGATTGGATGCGAAACTGCATGATTCCAGTTAAAAAGGCAGAAATTGTTAGAATCAGATCAAACTATGCTTCCCAGCAGAAACTCATTTCACATATGAAGGCCCAAGTAGTTTAATAGAATGATGGGAAGGTATACAGAGACCTAACTCTGAGTGAGTACACTGGCATCTGGGGTTGATTTCAGAACAAAGAGTATTATGAATGATAAAGTAATTTCTTCATGACAACAGATTATTCATCAAGACGAAACGGTCTAGAAATGAGAACTTCAGAACCCGTGCCACTGGGGTGTGTGTGACAGAAGGGTCAGTGGCCCCTTGGGATGGTTATCGGAGTGCCTAGTTTGAAACCTGGCTCTTCCCAACCCTGGGGAGAGAGCAGGAACTAGAGCAAGTTCTTGGGGGGTCTGCCTCTCCCGACAGGGATCTGAAGGATCTTGGAGCTTCCGGTTTTGGCCTGGCCCAACCCTGACTATTGTAGGCGTTTGGGGAGTGACCTAACAGATGGAAGATCTCATTCAAACAAAATGAAAATATATAAAAGCAAATAGAAGATTCCAGATGCTGAGAAGAAATGGACACAAGCAAGAATGCCTGAAGAAAAAGGCAAGAGAAAAGCATTTTATAAGATTCAATATCCTTTTATGATTTAAAGAAGGTCTGAGCAAACTGCTTCTGGAAGGGAACACACATTAAAACGGGGGATATAACTTATAAACCAGCAGCCAGTACCAGACTGAGGGGGAAAAAGCTGAAAAGTATTTCCTCTCAGATCTGGACTAAGCTCTCTGCTTTCACCAGTCTTGCTCAGTTTAGTACTAGCCAGAAGAAATAGGAAGGACACAGAAGTAATGGACATCACCATTGGAAAGGAAGTTACGGTGTCCATGAAAAAACCTACACTCTGCCAAAACGCTGATAACTGATAAACCTATTCAGCAAAGTCACAGGACATAATCAAGCATTTTTTCTATATACCAATAACAATAAATCAAGAAGTGAACCCGTCAGGAAGAGTTTCAGGATGGTGGAATAGGGTGAGGACACGTTTGAACAGATGACTAGCCGAGGTGAAGCAGGAGAGACAGCAGAGAGCAGAGCTCCACTGGTGGCCTTGTGGCAAGGAGACAGTGAAAGGGTGGAAAAGGATGTTCCAGGTTAATGGAAAGGAAAGGCGAGCTGGTGTGGCCATTCTTAGATAGGAAGATTACGAAAAGAGGGCCCAGCACAATAGTGTAATGGTTAGGGTCCTCACCTTGAACGCCCCAGGATCTCATATGGGTGCTGGTTCTAATCCCGGCAGCCCCACTTCCCATCCAGCTCCCTGCCTGTGGCCTGGGAATGCAGTTGAGGACGGCCCAAAGCCTTGGGACCCTGCATCCATGTGGGATACCCGGAAGGAGGCTCCTGGCCTCGGACTGGCTCAGCTCCAGTCGTTGTGGCCGCTTGGGGAGTGAATCATCGGACGGAAGATCTTCCTCTCTGTCTCTCCTTGTCTCTGTATATCCAGCTTTCCAATAAAAAAATTAATTACATACCAAAAGAGATGAAGGAAGACACCACATTGAAATGTGTGAAAGGAACTTGCTAGGGACAGTGGTACAGGAGGTGCAGGCTCCCAGCCAAGCGCACGGGGCTGAGAAAGCAGAAAGAACACGCAACCAATGATGTTTTCCAAAAAACACATTTGCAGATTTTGTTTTCAAGAAATCACCAAAACAGACAAGAAAAAAGTTGCCCTTAATTAAAGCCTGTGTTACTCTGAATACAAGTCCAGTTAATTTGGGTAAAGAATGGTATTCTTGTCAGCAATGTGAGCTGAGATATTAGACTAAAATTCCTTCATGCCCCCCAGATTTTGAAATGCTGTGTGAAATTGTGCTTTACAAAAGCGTGCTTTGAATGCACTGTTAGAGGCTAGAGTTGTATAAAAATGTACAATTAACGAAATTGTTCTAAATACAATTTGTTTTCACTAGTATAGTTAAATTTGGGGGGAGGAATTAAACATTTAAATTTTACTACAAAAGAAAAAAGATACACAACAGCAAAACCACCCCAAGATGAGCAGGAAAACAGAAATAATTAACATAATGGAGGAAATAAAGCAACAAATCAAAGAGTTGGTTCTTTGAGAAAATTAACAAAATAGATTCCCCACTAGTCCAACTAACCAGAAATGGAGAAGCTATGAATCAACAGAATCAGAGACGACAAGGAAATCCAGCGGAAACCTCAGACACACAGGATAATCAGCGACTGTGTCAACAATCCGAAGGCCTAGAAGAACGAGAGATTTTGGTACATCCAATCAACCAAAACCAAATCAGGAGGTAATTATTAATCTAAATTGACCTATAATAAAACTGGAGATTGAATCAGTAATTAAATCCCAGATGACTTCACTGCTGAAATCTGCCAAACATTTCAAGAACTTCCCCAATCCTCCACAAACTGTTAGAAATGAAACAGAAAGGGAGGCAGTCCTTCCGAACTCTGTGAAGCCAGTATCACCTTAACACCAAAACCAGGAAGAGAAACAACAGAAAAAGAGAACTGCACACCGATATCCCTGACGAACAAAGATAAAAATCCTTAACAAAATACTCACCAACAGAGCACAACACCACATCACAGATCCTTCACCTGGCCCAGGTGAGGTTTGTCCCTGGCATGCTGGGATGGTTTAACATACGCAGATCAGTAAAAGCACAGAAGGCATTTGGTAAAATCCAATACCACTTCATGTTAAAGAAAAAACAAATAGGCACAGAAGGAACATTCTACAGCACAATCAAAACAATTCACAAAGAGCCAGTGCCGGCACGCTGCTAAATGGGGAGACTGGAAACTTTCCCACTAAGATGTGTAACTTGACAGGACGTCCACTCTCATCACTGCTGGCCAACCACAGCATTGCAGATCCTCGCTAGAGCTATTAGGCAGGGAAAAGAAATGAAAGGATTCCAATCAGAAACAAGGATTTAAAATTATCGACTATTGGAACTCATAAGAATTTGGCAGGGCAGCAGGATACAAAATTAATGAACATAAACTGATGGCCCTAGTATGAACAAATTCTCCGTGGCCGAGAAAGAAACAGTCCTCTTTAAAACAGCAGAGAAGAATCTTAAATAACTTACAATAAACTTAACCAAAAATGTGGGAAGACCTCTGTGATTAAAGAAATAGGAGGTGGCATTAAAACATGGAGAAAGTGACCGCATTCCTGGGTTGGCAGAATCAACATCAAAAATGTCCATATCGGGCCCGGCGTGGTGGCGCAGGTGGTTAAAGGTCCTCGCCTTGCACGCCCGGGATCCCATATGGGCGCCGGTTCTAACCCTGGCAGCCCCGCTTCCCTTCTAGCTCCCTGCCTGTGGCCTGGGAAAGCAGTCGAGGATGGCCCAAAGCTTTGGGAACCTGCACCCGCGTGGGAGACCCGGAAGAGGCTCCTGGCTTCGGATCGGCATAGTATCGGCCCGTTGCGCTCACTTGGGGAGTGAATCATTGGACGGAAGATCTTCCTCTCTGTCTCTTCTCTCTGTATATCCGCCTTTCCAATGAAGAAATAATAAAAATAAATCTTTAAAAAAAAAATGTCCATATCACCAAGAGTAACATACAGATCCACTGCGATCCCAGCCAGCAAATCCCGGAGCCTGTGCTGCTGTGTCGTGAAAAGTGAAAATTAAAAAAGAGTAAGGAATGCTACTCACAATAGGTACAACAATTTTACATATTTAGGAATAAATTTAACCAAAGAAATGAAACATCCACCAATGAAAATTTTAAAATGCTGGGGAAAGAAATCATCAAAGAAGTTAAAAATTATGTTCATACACTTAAAATGTTCATACTACCTAAGCATTCTACAAATTCAGTCAATCTCTAACAAAATATCAAAACATTCTTCACAGAATTACAGAACAATCCCCAAACTAATGTGGAGTAGTCCGGGGGCAGGCGGCGCACAGCGGTGAAGCTGAGGCAATACAATATCTGATTTCAAAGCATACTACACAACTATAGTAATAAAAACACAGGATGGATTAATGGGACAGAATAAGAAAGCCCAAGCCACACACAACTTTTTTTTTGGAAAGATTTTATTGGAAAGGCAGTTACAGCTGGGCTAGACCAGGCCAAGCCAACAGCATGAACTTCATTCAGATCGTCCTTGTGGTGGCAGAGGCTCAAGCACTTGTGCCATTTCCTGTTGCTTTCCCAAGGACCTGAGCAAGAAGCTGGATTAGAAGGGGAGCAGCCAAGACCTTGAACTGACACCCATATGGGATGCCAGCATTGTACATGCTGGCTTAACGACAGCAGTTCTGTGGCCAACAAATTGTTCAAAAGCTGCCAAGAACATACATTGGAGAAAGTATTGTCTTTCCAATAAATGGAGTTGACAAAGAATAAAGAATGAAAACTAGAACATTACTATAAAAATCAATCAACAATGGACCAAAGGGCCTGGCGTGGTAGCCTAGCAGCTAAGGTCCTCACCTTGTACATGCCAGGGTCCCATATGGGCATTGATTCATATCCTGGTAGCCCTGCTTCCCGTCCAGCTTCCTGTTTGTGGCAGTCGAGTACGGCCCCAAACCTTGGCACCCTGCACCCACATGGGAGACCCAGAAGAGGTTCTGAACTCCTGGCTTCAGGTTGGCTTGGCTCCGGCGGCC